CCCCCCCAAAAAAATGTAATATTACCAATCAATTAGTTAGAAAATTTTACATTGGAAAACACACGTTTTGCTTTAAATTTGCCTTTTATTTTCAGAAGATATAAAATTTTAAAAACGCTTGGTGCGAAAATTCGCACTCAGGTGTTCTTTACGGATGTTCAAAAGAGATATAGCCTTTACGGGTTAATGTGACATTCACACAAAGGATGAGGCTCTTGAGAAGATCTCGCCCCCTTACATATTCTTACATTTATCCGAGTTTGTGGATAAATACCTTACGAAGACTTCCCTGTACAAGCGAATTCCTCGAGTACTCGCACGGGATTTACGTGAATTCCCGCGTAGCTTGCCCTTACAGCGGAGCCGCCTTTGCACTGCGCAAAGCGTAAGACACAGTTTTGTAAATGTTAAAACGCATTCCAATCTTCAAATCTGGCGCGTCTCCGATATATTCTGTACTTCTTACATAATTTCACATTTATACGCCATATTTTGCAAATAACGCAATTCTTCATTAATAATATAGCACGTTATTAATTCAGAAGAACATCTGTTGTGAGTGATCAGCAGCGTGACCTTTTATCACGCGCGCCTTTTTATCTTGTAGCAATTCGATTGCGCGGCAGGAAAAAATTTTGCGTTAGCGAGTATAGTTATTAAAGACCGCTCTGCTGATCATCGCCTGATGTACCGAAACATCAACATGCACAGAAACAATTCGGTATATTGTGACATTGTTCTGAATAAAATGACGCATACGAGATAAGTGACGTAATAATGATGGTAATATTATTATGCAGAGTGCGGCGAAAATCAGCAGCATGCGTTTCAACAGGTACAAGATGCGTGGACGTACCAACGCGACCCTCGGTTGCACTTTAAACGAACGAATATAACGAAGCATCTTTTACGGCTCCCGGTTCATATTGCAAAGGGATTAGTTAGGAAAAAGTTAGGGAAAAGAAAAAAAAACTCGGCACCTTATTTTCACTCACAACTACTTAGATGCGACTTGTTAGAAGAGCTAAGGAACTCCCGTAAATTAATACTTATTTATAACCCTTAGGACGGCCGTAGAAATACGTTTTTCTACCAGAATTTCTGTGCCAACTGCAAAGAATGTTGTAGATGATTTTTTTGTTTCAAGTTGAAGCATCATTCTAATCTTGTAAGATACTCAGATATATCTTTATTAAATATATTTGAATTTCGTAGTATATTATATTCTGATATTGATTATACAGTTCATTTTTGTATATTGGTGTGTGATAAATAAATAAGAATATTGTTTCTAAGCAATACCCCGATAAAATGATTACCTATTACATTATAATTAACTATGACTACTTGTTATATTATGATGATAAGGATAATATATAGTAAGGAACAAGAATTGCCATTGATTTTGTAGTTTGTTTTATTGATATAATTATTAACACAATTATATTAAAGAGTAAGATTTAGGAGATTAAAGCACAAACAAAATAATATAAAATATATGTAAAATAATATCTTTTTAAGTCCTTTCTAATTTCGTTTATTTTTTTTTTAAATAAACGCTAATTATAATACTTCATAATTATAAAATATAAAAGTCATTGAATATTTTTAATACTTTTAATATTTGTTTTATTTAAAAAATTAATTACGTATAAAGGATCGAATTATAATAATTATAATGAATTATGAAAATTATAATAATTTTTTAAATTTATTTAAAACATACTAATTCCTTCGTCTTACATAAATTATATAAACTTATAACAGATAAAAATAATAACAGAAGGCAAAATGCATGAAATAAAATAATAATTGCTATTTTAATTATAATAACGTTAATTAATACTTATTATACAACTATTATTTTCGGACTGTTATTTAAAAAAATTATATATCGCTTATTTTTAAGCAAGCATAATAAAAAAAAAAAAAAGAAATCGTTAAATCAGACTTTTACATCTTTCATATTTGCAGCAAATAAAATATAAGTGCATACTCACGTCATATTTAAGTGTACTCGTCGCACTTCAAAGTCCATCACGATTAATGTGATTCCCATACAATCTTCATGATCGAAGACCTTCATCTTTCTTTTACCCACCTATGTGAAATACATGAATAACAACATTAGAATAAAGTGGAAGTGCAACTGAAATAATTTTTAAAATTACTATGAAATCATTTTTAAAATAAAAAAACTCCCTTGTATGAAATATTTTACATTTATTAAATTTATTTCGCGTACTATATATATTCATAAAAAAATTAGTTATTTGATAAAGCATATCTCTTTTGTATATTTTATTAATTTCATTTATATATTCAATCGAAATTATATTTCACATCTTTTGTGAAATTTTTTCAATATAATACGTTATTATATATTAAAAGTATTTAAAACGCGAACATTTATAAAAATATTTTGATAATTATTTATAAAATAATGTATAATTTTATAACTTTGCAATATTCATTGGGAGTAAAATTATGTACATACAAAAGTATGTTTATTAAGAATTATTAGAATCTTAGCTTTATCATTGGTTGGGAAATTTATTTTGGTATCTTTCAAAACAAATGTTTGATATTATTACTTCATATTTATTTCAATTTTTGAAGATTACATGTTACATGTTATTTTAATGATAGATTTATGAATTACAGTCTACATATTTTTTTTTATTTCATATGTTGGAAATTATTAGATTTATATATAACACTGTGGTTTATCATAAATCTTTGTCTATTGCTCTACATAATATAGATAATACAGACTTAATATTTTTTTGTAAGTCTATTATGCATTTATGCATCTACATATTATGCATTTTAAGTTTAATGAATAGAGGCTGCATATAATATTAAGGGACTTTAACGTCAAATTATAATACAGATAAATTCATACATCAATTTATAAATTTAACATTAAGTTTGCATTGTATATAGTTTGTTTAGAAATTATTCTATTTACAATGCAGTATTAGTATATTTCATATATTTCAATATATCGAAACCTTGTTCGAAATGATTGGAAAACTAATATTAATATCAAAAGTTAAAAGATTAAACATTAGGTTTTTGTTTTTTAAATGTCTTGTTTAATTTATTTTCAATTCATTAAAAACATTAAGTACAAAAGAAAATAATTAGAATTATTTAGCCTCTAATTCAGACTTAACTTGTCTAAGTAATATTGAGTATAACATGATGAAATTCATAATTCTGATGTTATTTTATAGCAATATTAGTCGCTCATTCAAAGTTTACTTTGAATATTTTACTTTATCCCATCGATCTTCTTGGTCCTTTACTTCACGTAAATAATTAAATCCATCTGTGGTCAAAAATTTTAGGAAAAGGACTGAGGGAACGGAATTAATGTTTAAAAAAAAATTAGGTAATTGAATGAAATTACGAAGCAATGGAATTTTCAAAGGAATAAATTTATACCACGTTAGTGGTTGAGAATATTGAAATTCGGCTGATGTGTAAATTCTATATTGGATATATTTTAATCATGGATTAGTTTATACGTTCCTGTTTATCCAGTGGCCGCGAAAAATAATCTGAAAATTATTGAATCCATTATAAAAAAAAAATTAAGATAATTTAGAAAAGAAAATAATTAAAAAGAAAATTTAAATACAGTATTTATAACTGGAAAGAGATATGAATAGAGCGAGACAGACGATATGAGCCTTTCGTTAAAGATCTAGTAGCTTTTTACAAGAAATTAAACGAGAAATAAATCTTCCATAGACAATTTTTATTGAAGTTATCTTACTGTTTTAGTATTCGTCAAAATGGAACAATATTTGCGTATTATTACCGTGTTAGTCTTCGTGTCGCCGATCGATTAAGGACGATTTCTTTCGTTTATCGGTTTCTGCATAGTGGGCATCATAGGCCGCCGTACATTAGGAAGATTACCCACCATCGGATTAGCAACAATGCTATGAAATAATAATGTCAGAAAAAAAATATTTAGAGGAGCATGGATAATTGTAATAAAAAGAAAAATTTAACGGATGATTTTTTTCATAGGTGTTTACTTGGAAGGTCGTGTATATGGAGTGGTGCGGTAACGTGAGGCTGCGCCTGACGTCGTTGTGGTCTTGTAAGATTTCCAAGCGCGGCTTGACGACTCCTCTGCGAATTACATGGATTGATGCTCTTTAATTATTTAGGCAAAACACGAACGGCAAATCCTTAGTATTAGTGAGTAGTTATTTAAATTCTCAAAGACATCTATGTGTCATCATGCGACATCAATGTATATTTATTATAGTCATGCATATTTATTATAGTTTACGGCAGGGTTTAAATTTCGTCATTATAGCGAATTTATGTTACACCTATACTTCAATTGGAATTGCACAATTCAATTTTCTAAAACAATGTAAATTATTATATACATATTATCTGCTTTTATTATTATATAATCCTCTTTTTATATACGCGTAAACTGATTTAAATAAAAGATAACGTTCATGTTAAGAATTACATTAAAATTAATTTCTATAAAAGATTTTATTAAAAATTTCTTAAATATTATTAATTTTTATGTAATTATATAAAAGCATTATTTGATTTCCGAGATTTATTCACTTCGTAATTATTAGGGGTTTAAAAATATTTAATATCTGGCAAAAAAAAGATGTGTTTACGTATACAATTATTAATCTAAAATTATTTTTTCTTTTACAATAATAGAAAATTAAAAATTATTATACATATTTAGCAATTTTAGCATTTAATGCATTCCCATGGAAGCTTTCAATAGTTTTGTTTTAAACATATGAACATTATGTGCTTTATTAATGGCGTTTCTACAGTAATTGTAATAATTTCAGTTTATGACAATAATTATAAATATTTTCTCAAATGTTTATAAATATTTATATTACAAAATTTATATTAATATTAGTATGTCATAATAAACCCTGCGTAAGTATAATGAAAGATTTATATTATTTAGTATAGAAAAATTGACGAATATTCATGTCAAAATATATATATCTAATATAAAAATTTTTTTATGAAAACAAAATCAAAAGTTTATTCTCATGTAAAAACTATTTTTAATATAATCAAGCAAATATACAAATATATAAATATAGTTTACCTGGATAGTCCGAAGATTCGTAATAATCACGAGAAGAATGCGGGGCAGAGTCATCATCGTATTCGTAAGTCGTGTAACTTAAAAAAAAATTTTATTAGATATAAACTCACATAATAAATAATTATATAAAGACTATATTCAAAATAAAAATTGCGTTTCTATAAAAAAAAATTTTATGTTATTATTACATTAACAAATTTCATTTTACGTTAAAAATTTTAACGTTTGTATATATATATATATATATATATATATACACAACATTAAAATTTTATATATATATGTATGTATGTATAAGAATTTTATTTTTAAACACAATATTTCTGCATTTTATTTTTATTATCATATACACTATAATACATACCCAGAATTCGAAGTATAACGGTCATATCGAGCGTTACTACCTGAAGATCCGTGGTAATCGTAATCATGATGAGATCCAGCTCGATTTGTTGGCGGAGGAGTTTGAGTATCATAACTACAAGAACAAAAAGATTCGTATGTTCAATATAGTATATTGAGTCGTTCAATGTATCTGATAGCGACAACTTTATAATTCAGCTCTCTATGTTCTCATGTAAAAATTTGTACCTTTTAATACTATTGATAATCTGTAAAAAGTTGGTTCCTTTCGATACTATTGACTACTTTGATTTTATTCCTTCAAATTTTTGTATTTGGACAAATTAATAAGTTTTTCAATTTTTATTAATTAATTTATCACTCCGTTACCTCTCTTACAAGAAAAGTTCTCTGATAAGAAAACTGAATAATAACGACTAACGAAAGCAGCACCATAATTACGATCATTCATCACGTGTTGTTTTAATTTTTTTACTCTGATTTTATTTCTATTTTATATCTATACAATTAACGATTAATTAATGTATTTGCTTTTAATTTTCTTCAATAATTTTTTATTTAGGTATAATTAATAAACGTAATAATTATGTTTAATTAATAATTTATGTATAATTAATAGCTATCATGCACGTTAGTTTTTGAATTTGTTCTTACTTTTATACTTTATTAAACTTGTCTTTTATTTTTCAATACAATATTTAATTTGCAATTTTAATGAAGCAATTTTGTTGACATTACATGTGTATACTATGTAAACTTACTTATAACTTTGATCCATAGCAGCTCTCGCACGATCCAAAATCGAGAATACTTTTGATTTGGACGGTTGTGGTCGAACATGTGGCCCACGATTCGGCCCAGGTGGTGGAGGAAGAATAGCTAAAAAAATAAAAAAATAAAAAAATAAATAAATAAATAATTTATAATTATACATATATAAGATCATACATATACATATATAGGGTGTTCAGACCACCCACGCCACCCATTTAAAAACGAAGGAAGTGGTTTTTATAAAAAATCTCAAAAATTTTAGTGAATAAAATCGGGTACGCTCTATTAAATGGTGATATTTTCAACTTCTGATTCCGAACGAAAATAGACCATTTAGAGTAGAAGTCGATTTTTTAAAAACATGGTATTTTTTATTGCAGATTCGGGTTTCTATGTAAAAAAAAAAAAAACTTTTGAACCAAACATTTTTTCGAAAAATGTCAACTACAAAAGACTACCTTTCACTTAAAAAATCGACTTCCAGCCTGAATGGCCAATTTTTTTCGTTCGAAACCGAAGTTGAAAATATCACTATTCGATAGAACGTACCCGATTTATTTATCCCAAAATTTTTGAGATTTTTGATAAAAACTACTTCTCTCGTTTTGGCGCGAGTGAAACACTCTGGTTTGAAACACTCTATACACACATACATATAATAATCTTATATATGAAAGATTTAAATATATTTACTACAATACAAAAGACATCTGTTAAACATGAGCTTGTAATAATCAATGTAGATCCAAATGGAATAGATAAAAAGAATAATCATATAGATAACAATAACCAACCTCTAGACGTCCTAGGCGCCTGTCCCCTGGCAGCGGGCCTCGGTACGTTACCAACACCAAGATTTCCAGGTCCTCTCATCGAAGGTCTCCGATCATTCGAAACACCATCATCAGACATGGTCATCTCCATTTCGCGCATTTGTTCTTGACGTATATTGTCATTGTTGTCGGGGATCAAATATTTCCGCACTTCGGCCAGCGCGAATGCAATGCGAGCGTAAGCTTCCGCCGGTGGGGCAATAGCGGTGATCTCCACATGTAGATCGTCGGAAAGATGTGCGTATTTCAAATTCAAGGAAGCACGAAGTTCTTCTTCCTGAAATTACAAAAATCCACCCAAAAAAATAAGCCAACTTCTTTCAAGATAAAGAGAGGAAAAAAAAAGAAAATAAGAGCCTTTCTTTGCACTTACTTTTTGTTTATCCTTCATTGATCCTCTGCCCAACACCGCCATCTTGCACATTGTCTCTTCTTGCAGGCGTTTCATGGAGTTGCCTTTTGGCCCCAGCAATTTCCCAACGAAATTAAACTAAGACAAGAAAAATAAATTTCAAATTTATCTCAAATCTGTTTTAATACTGTAAAGAGTACGCAAAAGGTAGGAAAAAAGTTAAACATACAATTTTGCTCTGAAATTTTCAACATTCTACTGGTGTCTAAGAACATAACAATAAAAGGATTTTGGAGAGAAGTTGATATGGCGGATTGGTCTGTGTCGCTTCCACTGGATTTGTGTCTGCATTACTTTACATCAGTAACGTTATATAACTGTATTCCGTTTCACGCATGATGTATCATTTTATCCTTGTTTAACATTCAGTGAACAAGGATAAAATGATACATTATGTGTGAAACGGAATGTAGCTATGTGTGCGAGAAGGCATCAATTGGAAGAACGACAAAAGTTGACTAATAGACAAAGAAAAATGTGGACCAAAAGGAAGAATGTTCTGTACGAATGTTGTGTATATATTTTATGTAGGTACATAAGGGCTATGTAGAGGAAAGTAAGGAAATTGCGCAACTTTTTAAACGTTGTGTGGTCGAAGACTTGCAATTCTGATTTGTTGCATATGAGACACGAGTTTTGACACCGTGGCAGAAAACGAAATCCAATAATGCATACCGAGACTCCTAACTCAAGATAAAAGTGACAAAAAGAAAAACATCGCACATCGAGAAAGTAACACCAAATTACGAGATAAAATTCCATTCAAAACAAAGCAACTTTACTAAAGCAACTATGGAACTGAATGTAGATTAGAGAATCAAATGAAAGAAATGACAAAAATACACAGATAGAAGAAAAATACAAACCTAAAGAAAGTACCTCAGGAAAACAAAAAACCAGTCTATTTCACACAAGTGTTCGACCACAGAATGTTTAAAAAAGTCATGCAACAACTACCCATTTTCCTCTATATCTTTTTTGCATACTCCTTTGTAATTTAGATTGCTCTAGACACTTACTTTAGGATGTTCCCGGACAGGTATCAGAACTTTGACAGAGACACGAACATGTTTCTCACGATAAATATCCACATATTTTGATTCTCTCATTGGTCTGCGCATAGTTTCCGTTTTCTGAATTTCTGTAAAACGTGCAATTTTTGTTAATGTAACAAAGTAGTACAATTTATTGCATTAAATTTTAATTTAACATACTTTACTGTTATTTGTTTTCTATTTTAATTATTTTTTTTGCTAAATCTTTTATCCCAAATTGATCAATAGATGTATATAAAATTAAAAAATGTGTATTCTACTACTTATTCTTTAAAGAAATATCCCTCTTATTATAAAAAATAGTAGATTTACTCCTTTGTTCCTTTTTTATTCAAATCAGTGGTAAAATTAAATCATGATACAAGTAGTTCTTACAGTTACATTTACATGTCCCTTTAAAACTACATTTACAGAAAGATACTAAAAAGATACAAGATACTTCGACAATCAAATTAATGAACAAAGAACTCTGAGGGGTTGAATCTTACATTAAAATTCAAATGTATTGCCATCAAACTGAATTTTGTTGCGTCATAAAATTTCGCTCGTCCAAGCATCAATCGCGCGCTCGATCCAATTTGTATCTATTTATCGCAAGTGAAAGTTACGATCCACGGACGGATTCCGGCGGTCTCTCGTCACGAATGATGGACTCGTCTGCGAGATTATCTGTTAGTTAAGTTAAGGGAATACGTTCGCTTAGAGGTTATTTCTCCCGACTCACCCTGATCCAACAAACGGATCGCGTTGGGCCATTTCTGCCCGTCCAGCTCGATCTTCTCCTGCAGAAGCTCGTGCATGTACTCGCCGGCCTTGTCGACCTGGTTATCCTTGTCTTCGGACTCGTCGATCGACCTGGGTTTGTCGTCGGCATCTTCCTCCCTCTGATACTTGTACTCGCCGTTGCTCGATCTGTCCATATCCATGCTCGACGTGATCCGGATCCTCGATCGATCGGTTCCAACAGTGCCCTCGGTTCCCTCGCGCTACGGGATATCCGTCGAAAAATCCACGTCCTGGATCCACAACGACGCGTCTGTCGGAATGAATCCGTAATGGCCGACAATGCGCACACGCGCGCATCCAGTTGACGGCAGTTGATGGGTCCCGCCAGCCGCCAAGTCCCGCCGAGAGATCGCCAACCGTGATTGCAGACTGCGGTCTGCTCTCACGCCGCTCCTCATCGATTGTGGGATTCGCGAGTTTTCCTCGCGCCCTGCATTTCTATCAACCGAGATTAATTTTAATCTCGGTCTAATTTACTCTTTAACTTTTTCCTAATTCTTAGAAAAGGTAAAAAATAAATTAAACCAAGATCGACGTAAAATTCACAATTGGAAAACATATAAAATTCTCGAACAATTTAAAACTGTAGTCGATAAAAGTCGATAAAGTAGATCGCCTGCTGTTGAAATATCTATTTGTATCTTATATTACGTTTACTCTTTGCAACCATCGGCGGATAAAACTATAGTTTGATTGAAGGTATGACAGAAAAAAATTCTGATTTTATTGCGTATGAATCAGCTGAATAAAATATATAAATTGCACGAAGATGAAATAAAAAGTACAAAATGTATCTTATATTCGTTTGACTACGTCATCATAAATATATCTTTCATGTCAACTAACCAGCCGTTGAAGATTCATCATTGGCTCGGCGATCGAGAGGAAAACGGAGCGCGATAAGGACAGATTCTTTCGGGACGTCATGTTACATGTATAACCGCGTAAATAAATTACCGCGATATTAAAATGCTCCCCCTCGCCGTCCGACGGTCTCGCATCGCGTGACGCCGCGACTGACGTCGAGCATCACACCACGTATACTCGCGACGAGAGATCTAATAAGTGATCTGGAAAACAAAGTCAACACACCGCGAGGACAAAGTCGGCGCACTATGAGCGATAAGTATTACTAACGTCGGCGAACACTTATCGCGGAGTTCGTCCCTTGTCGGCTCGCGCTCTCCCACCCTCCGAGAATCTTATCCCCTATTCGGTTGAGTCATGCTCGCGTTCTCGGCGCTCCGTGCCGCGCTGGCCGCGCATCGCGGCAACGAAACCAGTTCCCGCTCGTGTGCGTGCGTGTACGATCGACGCGCGCGTGTCGATCGATCGGCGAACGCGTGTCGATCACGTTCGATCACGCGCGTGCGCGCGCGCTCGCACTCTCTCGCCCCCGCGCTCCCCGACCGCGCGACTGTGCGCGGAGACCGTTTTGAAATTCCACGTGAGGTCGAGCGGGAGAACCTAGCCGCGGAGTATCGGCATTGTGTGCAAAATAGAGATAAGACCCATTCTCGCGACCTCCTGGCGAAACGATTTGCTACTCGGACGAGCCGCAACGAAAAGAAGAGGGAAGTGGAAATAAAGAGAGAGAGAGAGAGACACGTCTAGATAGAGGGAAAGAGAGTAACGATGATTCTCGGCAAGTTGTGCACGGGACTGCGGCACGCCGGAGGCAGGCTGCTTTTGATCCGCGGCGAGATTTCCGCCGGTCACGGCAAAAGCCATGCCAGAGGGGCGCACTTTACGTATTTCCCGTGTGAAAAGCCACCCGTCGCCGGTAAGTGGATGCCACGCGGGCATGCGTTAATCATTCACCAGAAGAATTCTCCGCGCCAAGTTCTGTAAAGGCAATATGTGCGCTTAGGAGATATCCAAGTACATGTGTACGCCACATGCGTGTCAGCTGCTGGGAGATTAGATGTATCGATCGATGTGATGTATCGATCAAAAGATATTATCTCTTTTATTTGTCAACCAATTGATTCGAAGCGCGCTTATATATGTATATATACATATATATTACGAGCGTGCACGTGATGAGTTTAACTTTCCTTGCAGAATGTAATTCCGTCAATTTAGCATAGTATTTAAATTGGCATAATAGAAGAGTAATATGAAAGAAGGAATGTGTTATTTGTAGCAAGGAAGACCAGAGATGTTTTGATCTATCGGACCTCTCGAGGACTTATCGAGATTCTCTTTCTCTTTTGCTCCCTTTTGTACCCTTCTCTTCTCTTCCCCCTCTCTGAATAATGAGAATGGATGAAATGATAATTTAAAATTATTTTAAACTAGACAATCTTGTGATCATTATATGAATATATATAGTATATATTTCCTTTTAAAATAAAAAGCAAAACAAATTTAAAAAATGCATTTTTTTCGAGTAGGTATTCAGATATTCGATCTAAAATATTCTCTGTTAAAAATGATCGATCGTCTTGTTTTCATGATTCATATGTATAAGGATATATTATGTCAAGAATAAATTAAAAATTGATGAATATAATGCGATAAACTGCCGAAATTAATGATTGTTTTTGTCATATTTATTGTAATGGAAATATCGTTATATCATTACGAAATATTTCATTCTGCTTCAGTAACTTCTGAAATGACATTATTACGTGCGTTCGAGATCGTAGAGACACAATATAAATAATTCAATATTTTATTATACGAAATTTGTGGCTTTTTCCAAATATTTGTAAACCTCCTGCAAAATCCTCGAGAAATTATTTTTTAATTCAATTGTTGAATTATTTTAGGTTTTACCTATCCCAAAGTTATTTTACGCTTAATTTATTCATGTAATTACGTAAAAGAGTTATATGCTTTCAGGTGAGACTCAAAAGCTGAATATGTATCAAGCTATAAATCACGGGCTTAATATCGCATTGGAAAATGATCCACGGTCGGGTAAGGATTTTGTTCTGTGTACTTTTGTATTCTTTTAATATGAAATTTATATAGTATCTCATTTTAACTTAGAAAATGTTTTGAAAACAATGAATTTTCGAAAAAAATGTTTCAAATAAAAGTTGTAGAGTTTGAAGAGGGCCGTCAGATGAGTTATTTAGATTTTAAGTCCGGGATTCACTTTGGATTTAGAAAGGCCCAGGTTGATTTTTTCGGTGGAAATATGTTTTATTGTATATTTGTACATTCGTATTCTATTGAAAAAAAGAAGGAAATTTTGTTCCTGGTAATTTTTCGTTAAACATCCTCCAACAGGTACAAAATAGCGCTCAAAATTCTTATTTTGAAACACATTTCAGCCAATGAAGGCAAGACCAGCGACGATCCAAGGACTCAAAATCTGAATAGTTTTTTTCAAGCCCTTTAAAATATTTTTTTCAAAAATGCATTGTTTTCGAGATATTTTAATCTAATTGTAAATTAAAATGGGACACTCTGTACATCTATCTATACGTAAATACAACAGCACTTTCTCTGTCTTGATATATATGAAGTTTAATAATATATACATTTTCAATCTTTTAATATTTTTGAAAAATTAAAAGCATTAATTAAGCTGTAATAATTTTCTCTAATTAATTCAGCTCGAGAAAGCCATTTAATCCTCTAAAATGTCAAATAAAATATAATTATTCTAAGAAAACCTGAATCTTTCTTTCTTCATTAAAATCTCTCAAACAGAAATATTTGCATGTTTTGCAGACAATAAAAATGTCACTAACAATTTCTTTTAAAATTTTAGTGGTGTTCGGCGAGGACGTGGCATTCGGAGGTGTTTTTCGTTGCACGATGGATTTGAAGAAACGTTTCGGCGCCGATCGTGTCTTCAACACACCTTTGTGCGAGCAAGGAATCGCCGGTTTTGGAATCGGCTTGGCCAACGCGGGAATATCGGCGATTGCCGAGATACAATTTGCCGATTACATATTTCCCGCTTTCGATCAGGTGCCGCTATCGTTCATTCAACACATATATGTATATAATAACAGATAGATTGATATAATTATTATTTTGTAACATATCCAGGGTATAAAACATACCTAAGGATTTAAGAAGATTTAACTGTTCGAACAATAAGAAAGTACAAACAAAAGTATAACGACGAAATTCTATTCGCTTAAAAAATGCAGAGAGCGCGGAAACTTTTTTTCCTATAGCTTGAAAACTTTGCGAGCGGATCGTATGAAATAATCGCGGAATGTGTATTTTGTTTCGTCATGCAAATTATTAAAATAGAGTGTATGGATTAATTATCTTCGACTATTAACGAGACCGCGGTGTGTTATACGTTTTCTCTTACAGTTGGTAAACGAAGCGGCCAAGATGAGGTATCGCAGCGGCAGTATGTTCGACTGCGGCAAGCTTACGGTTCGCGCGCCTTGCGGAGCCGTCGGCCACGGCGGTCTTTATCACTCCCAAAGCCCGGAAGCCTACTTCGCACACACTCCCGGTTTGAAGGCTAGTAGAAATGAATTTTTTTCTTCTTGCTTTCATTTGTCATACGTAACACGCAGAGCCGCTCGCTTCCTCTCGGCTTAAAGGCTAAAGTATCTCTCTGTTAATAGCCGAGCGAATAGACAAGTTCCTTATCGAGATAGACGATTTCGCAATAAGGTCGTAAAAGGCCGCGCCTCAGTGTTTGTACGAAATGCCTGACGAGCCGTAGCCACAATGTTGAACAAGGTCTACGCTATTCCACAAACTCGCGTATAACTGTTGATATACGATGACGATTGAATTTCATTTCCAAAAATTGATTGACATGTTTACCCGATTTGATGAGGCCGAGGCGAGCGCTTCGTCACCGAATTTTCGCCATCGGGAACATATTCTTCGGCATTATAACCCTCGTTATACGTATACCTGTACCGCGCCGCAGCCGTGTAGAGCCGTGCAGAGCTCACAACTTTCCTCAACAAATTCCATGAATATTGTACGGCGTATACGATCTACGTATGCATGAAGAAAGTTTTGCCCGCACACCAATGCGCGCGGCGCGCCGCGCTATCGTACATCGCGATTACGAGAGGAGCGACGCGCGGCGCGTAATATCGCCGGCGTTACGCGGAGCCGATCAATTTCACGCTTGTTTCGAGGCTGCCGAGAGGCCACCGATTATCGGAAGGGGGATCGCGAGGGACACGGATTGTGCATTTTTTAACGAGTTTATCCCTCCTCTTCTCTTTCAGATCGTCGTCCCTCGCGGAGCGATGCACGCGAAGGGTCTCCTGCTGAGCTGCATCGACGAGCCGGACCCATGTATCATTTTCGAGCCTAAGACGCTGTATCGCATAGCGGTCGACGACGTACCCGTGGCAGATTACAAGATCGAAATCGGCAAGGCCGAGATTGTAAGGAGCGGTGAGTTCTGAAAAATTGCCTGGATATTTAAGTAATTGACTATTTGGATAGTTTCAATATTGTGTATCGATAATTTGTGTTCGATACACGGAAAGAACAATTTTGCTAAATCCAGATCTGAAAATAATTTTTGTTCAATAATCAAAATAATTTTGTGCAAAAGTCAAAATGATTGCTAGAATATCAAAACGTTTTATAGCAATGCTTATCAGTTCTAACATTCCAACAAATTATTTTGATGATTCAATAAAAAGTTATTTTCAGATCTATTTTTAGCAAAATTTTTAGACACTTCAACAAAATCGTTCTTTCCGTGTACTTTTCAAATTTGTAATTTATACACAGTGCGATCTGTAAGTATTGTGACAAAAATCACAAATAAAATAAAAATCACGTCTGAAAAGTAATTTGAATATTTTTTGTTTAAAATAGGATTTTTTCATATAGGAGTTTCTTTATAATCAATACACTGCACTCTGCTCTTCTCATTTTTTTCAATCTTTGCGTCGCCGTTGAACGATTGAGTACTTCTTTTGTAATTGTCTTCTGATGTTGGTCGGATTTCTATTGTCGAATAGCCAAACAAAAATGCCGTAATAATCTTGTATCATTTATCCTATCTGATTTGTTTCCCACTGATCATTGTATCATCTATCTCATCTGATTTGTTTCCCACTGATCATTTCTTGTTTTCGAAACTGAAATTGAAATGCCATAAATTCGATATTCCAGAAATTCAAGCTGCTATGACAATTGTGGTCGATTAACTGAAAACAATTACGAAAGAGGGATCACTCAATGGTGATGCAAAGATTGAAAATAAGAACGGAACGATGAATCGATTCTAAAGAATTCTATTTTGAATTAAAAAATGTTAAAAATATCTTTTTAACATATTCTTTATCTTAGATGAGTTTTATTTTAAAATTTCTGGACCGCACTGTATATACGTAAGTTATATATACAATTTATATATACGTAAGAAATAACTGCTATATTGCTTTACATAACTTTATGTGTGAAAACTGCTCCCTTTTCTTCGAAACTAATTTCAACAAACTAATCAACAGTATTTTATCATTTCCGATTTTAACGACGTTAATTGAGAACGACGATTTTACTTTCGAGTTCTTTTAACACGACGTATTTATAATTAGTATTATTAGAAATTCTCGGATCTTCGGGCTACGCGGAAATGATTATGCACTATGAATAAATATTCGCGGTTGTAAAATCATTCTTCGGGGAAATGTTTAGAGCGTACGACCGGCTCTTGTCACATATTACATTATTCGCGGTACGTGCGTCATCGAACGAAATATAAGGCGTTGTTTGAAGTCGTAGAAAGTTACTATTCTCGAGACGCGAGAAGCGAATATAATTTATCGAGTGCGATCGCACGTCCTTTTATATCGCCGGAGCGGAGCGCGGTCTGCACATCTCTCTCGCCCGTTGTGACCGGTCCTGGAAACAGGATATACGGGCGCTGAGAAAAAAAAAACACGCGCTTTCATCGGCGACGAGAGCGATTGCAGCGTCTGTGCGTATACGTAACGTATACTCTCGAGTATAGGTACACGAATGCATCTGTGGCTTTCTTTGTCGCATAGGTGACGCCGTGACACTCGTGGGCTGGGGCACTCAGGTGCACGTACTGCTGGAGGCGGCCGACCTGGTCCAGGAGAAACTCGGCGTGTCCTGCGAGGTGATAGACCTCGTCTCCATTCTACCTTGGGACACGGAACTCGTGTGCAAGGTGGGCAATAACGGCCGTCGTTATTACGACCGTTTCCTTGAGAAAGACCGAGATCGATTTCGCTCGAGGCGAGAAGCCTTTAAAGACGCACACCTATCGCTCGCGTTCTCTCCGCGTTGCCGTCGCAACGAATCTCTCATACGCGCGTTCCTCGTGTTAGTTAACGTCGAATTTCAAGGGCCGCGAGATCTCCTTGCCATTCCATTCCCTCGGTTTTAACGAGTCGAGACTTCGAGACGACGTCACGACCGTGAACGCCGAAATGCCCGTTCCGACGTATATATATAGAGAATCGCATATATACGCCTACGCGAGGTACGAGAGACGCAATTGAGAGGTCCCTTTCGCGCCATTTGTATGCGTCGTTGGAAACGTCGCGGGAACGTCGGGATAGCGCGGAAAGGAAATATCGAGGTTTAAACCCCTCGTTTCTCTTCCCGCCGCCGCGACGAGAATTCGCCGTCATCATGTCGCGGCGCGCGTTGTTCCCGCGATCGGGTGAAGTCTTGGTATATAATGTATCGCGATTCGATCTTCGCGCGACGCGAACGTGACGCGACACTCTGTCGCGTCGTTTCATCGATGACAGGCGGATGCGCGTCGCGTCCGAAGCAAAACGATCGAGAAGCGGTCGTGGTGCCGAACGAAGTCGCCGACCGCTCGCATGAGCTCCCTCCCCGATGGATTACGATACACATGGATTTCCATAGACGCTAATATCGCGTTGATTTATGCTAATCGATCGCTGGTCGCTTAATGATATGCTCGATCGTGGATTCCACCGCGGCTTGCAGATCGCCGCTATATTATATTATACACCGTGCGTGTGTGATGCGCGCAAACGTACACACACACACACACACACACACACACACACACACACACACACACATATGTGCGCGCGCACACATGACGAGGTGATCGTAATTGAAAACCCGTTTCGCCGCCAATTTCGATACAGTCGCGGGGATTCGCCGTCTTGTCTACTCTCCGACGTGCCTGCCTGCGAAACGCGCGCCGCGCGATTTCGCAACGAGACGAACTGCTCTCGCAAGGAACAAAATCCTGACGCGCCGCTTCGGCTCGAGAAACCTCCATGCGGAACTGTTAGAATCGCGCGATTTAATTCGATTAAAAATTAATGACTTGTAGATACAAGAAATGTGGAATGATGGATTGACATCGTATGCGATTAATTAACCAACACGAATTGTTCCAATTAGAATTTTGTTTTCAATAGCAATTTTTGACATCTTACTAACAGGTCCAAGAAAAAAAACCCAGCTTTTTTTAAACGATTTAACAAACTATTAAAAGACACGGTCGTATTTCGACGTTAAAGCGCGAGACTGGATCGTGTCCATTTACGCGAGCCGGCGCGGCGCAACGAATTGCCGTGCACCCGAGATTATCGATCTCAATAATGGCTGTTAATTATTACGTAGTACATCACAGACTAGATATATGTATAAAGATCCTTTTAATAGTTTACTTTTATAAAGTAAAAGGGAGATACACAATTAATAACGTCGTCGACTTCCTTCAAACGCAAAGTTAATTTACGTTAATTCTCCTTAGGCGTTTGAAAGGGATTGAACGTTACGAGGAAGGGGCAATAATTCAAACGCTTACCGTGACAGCCAGGCGCCCGTTAATAAAGGTTAATAGTGGACATGCAGAAACCCATAAATATCAATCCGATAAATATATAGAGACGTATGCCTTTCTGCGGGGTGTATCCGTAACGAAAGATTGTAACTCCTGAAAGTTGCAGGGAAGGTCGGCGCGCGATTCGAAAATGTCATAGGAACCTGTATTCAGCGTTCAGTCGCGCTTATCTATCTAGTTACCTTTGTCAATGATTTACAACGGGACGGGCCCACACATATGTACACGTATATATAATACGCATATATACAATACGCAGGTGTGCCTCCGCCGCGTATCCCGATCGCGGCGCGGCCGCGTTCCCGCGCGCGTCGTATCTCTGCACAACGTCGAATCACGTCGTGTAGACCTGTATTTGATAGCCGTTACAAAACGGCTCCGTGCCGTCATCGGCGGCGTCGTTAATGCGGCCGCTTAGCGCATCAGCCCGTTGCATGCGAAGTTATTATTGTATCCGCGATGTGGGACGGGACGTAAATCACGCGCGAATTAAACCTCGGCGACCGGCCGACCGATAATAAATTACCATATATATATGTATATACATCCGTGATACGGTGTACTGTGTTTAATGTTCGATTGTTGCAGTCGGCGAGGAAAACCGGACGCGTGATCGTTGCCCACGAAGCGCCGATGACGAATGGATTTGGGGCGGAGATAACCGCGATCATTCAGGTAAGGTCCCACACCCCGTGAAAATCCTCTTCGGCGGCAGCGATGAAATTATCCTTATTGCGCAAGCAAGGAACGGAAAGATTATACCGGGTTAATCTAACGCAACGACCAGATCTATCGCATGACTATTAATATGTAGCGCGTGCGATTTGCGGTGCCTTAACTATTACGCGCGTAACATTACCATCCCG